GAACTTACAAAAAAGGAGACTAAAAAAGCAATCCCATTTACCATCGCACCAAAAAAATTAAGATACCTAGGAATAAACTTAACTAAGGAGGTAAAAGACTTATATGCGAAAAACTACAGGACACTGAAAAAAGAGATAGAGGAAGACATAAACAGATGGAAGAACATACCGTGTTCATGGATTGGTAGAATCAACATCATCAAAACGTCCATACTACCCAAAGCAATCTATACATTCAACGCACTTCCCATCAAAATACCAACGGCATACTTCACAGATCTAGAACGAACTCTCCAAAAATTCATCTGGAATAAAAAAAGACCCCGAATAGCTGCAGCAATCCTGAGAAAGAAGAAAGTAGGTGGGATCTCAATACCAGATATCAAGATGTATTACAAAGCCACTGTTCTCAAAACTGCCTGGTACTGGCACAAGAACAGGCATATAGATCAAATGGAATAGAATAGAGAACCCAGAAATTGGCCCGAACCAATATGCTCAATTAATATTTGACAAAGGAGGAAAGAACATTCAATGGAGCCAAGATAGTCTCTTCAGTAAGTGGTGTTGGGAAAATAGGACAGATATATGCAGAAAATGAAACTAGACCACCAACTTACACCATATACAAAAATAAACTCAAAATGGATAGAGGACTTAAATGTACGACAGGACACCATAAAAATTCTAGAGGAATCCAAAGGCAACAAAATCTCAGACATATGCCGAAGCAATTTCTTCACTGATACAGCTCCTAGGGCAGTTGAAACTAAAGAGAAAATGAACAAATGGGACTACATCAAAATAAAAAGCTTCTGCACAGCAAAAGAAACCATCAACAAAACAACAAGAAAACCCACTGCGTGGGAAAACATATTTGCCAGTGTCATATCTGATAAGGGCCTAATCTCCAAAATTTATAGGGAACTCATACAACTTAACAAAAGGAAGATAAACAATCCAATCAAAAAATGGGCAAAGGACCTAAATAGACACCTTTCAAAAGAGGACATTCAGAAAGCCAAGAGACATATGAAAACATGCTCAAAGTCACTAGTCATCCGAGAGATGCAAATCAAAACAACAATGAGGTACCATCTCACACCTGTCAGAATGGCTATCATCAACAAATCAACAAACGACAAGTGCTGGAGAGGATGTGGAGAAAAAGGAACACTTGTGCACTGCTGGTGGGAATGCAGACTGGTGCAGCCACTGTGGAGAACAGTATGGAGTTTCCTCAAAAAACAAAAAATGGAACTCCCATTTGACCCAGTGATCCCACTTCTAGGAATATATCCCAAGAAACCAGAAACACCAATTAGAAAGGATATATGCACCCCTATGTTCATAGCAGCACAATTCCCCATAGCTAAGATCTGGAAACAGCCTAAGCCCCCATCAGCAGGTGAATGAATTAGAAAACTGTGGTACATCTACAAAATGGAATACTCTGCTGCAGTAAAAAAGAAGGAACTCTTGCCTTTTGCAACAGCTTGGATGGAACTGGAGAACATTATGCTAAGTGAAATGAGCCAGTCAGAGAAAGATAAATACCACATGATCTCACTCATTTGTGAAATATAGAGAACAACATAGACTGATGAACAGGGACAGATCCAAAGACAGAGAAACAGCGATCAGACTATTAACCCCCAGAGGGAAAGTAGGGGAGGGTGGGTGTAAGGAAGGGGAAGAGATCAACCAAAGGACTTGTATGCATGCATATAAGCATAACCAATGGACATGGACAACAGGGGGATGAGAGCATGAGTGTGGGGGTGGGAAGAGGGTTAATGGGGGGGGGGGGGGATGAGGGCACATTTGTAATTCCTTAACTAATAAAGAATTTAAAGATTAAAACAAAATTTGCCCTCCCCCTTCTTTTCGGTTTGTTTTTATTCTGCTTTTACAAGGGACTTTATATAAAGAACTGAATTCCAACATTCAGATGTTCTGGTTCTTTTGAAGTTTTTGCCCTATTGAAGTGACCAGAAAATTCGCTCCCATGTCATGAAAATGCACTGTGCTAACTTTCTTTTCCATCGTGGAAACACTTATTTATGATCATCAGACATAGTGAATAAACAACTCATTCGAAACCTTAAAAAAAACTCTTCTCCATGTAGCTTAGAGTCCAGTAAAAGGTAGACATATAATAAAAATTTGTAAGTAAATGAGAATTTAAATTAATAAGATAATTTCAGGAAGTGATACCTGCTATAAAGAAAGCAAAACAGGATCATGATATGGGGGGGAGGGGTGGCAAGGAGCTGCTTGAGAAGGCTTCCTGAGAGAGGTGATCCTGGGAGTGGCTGAATGCTGAGGAGTCAGCCACAGCGAGATTTCAGGAGAGAGAGAACAGCAGGGTGGAGGGACTAAGAATCAGGCAGGGCTTACATTCTATCTGAAAAATAACAATGATGCCCTAGCTGATTTGACTCAGTGGACAGAGCATCAGCCTGCAATCTGAAGGATCCCAGGTTCGATTCTGGTCAAGGGCACGTACCTTGGTTGCAGGCTCCTCCCTGGCTGGGGCCCTGGTTAGGGTGCATGCAGGAGCCAACCAATCGATGTGTTTCTCACACATCGATATTTCTCTGTCTTTCCCTCTCTTTTCCACTCTCTCTAAAAATCAATGGAAAAATATCCTCGGGTGAGGATTAAAAAAATAATAATGAAAACTAATGATGATGACGAGAAGTAGCAGTAATACTAATCAAACTAACAATGATGGTCAGTGGAATATTGTAGCCGGTGTTCTCAGTGCTTTACATAAATTACCTTATTTAATTCCCATGGCAATCCCTAAAATGAGTACTATAATGGTCTTCATTTTAGAACTGAGAAACGGAAGCATAGGAAAGTAAGTAACCTTAAGACTACGTGATCCGTGAGTGACAGAGCTATGATTCAAACTTGAGTCTGTCTGAAGAGCCTCTGTGTTGCTTCCGATGATGTGTATTGCCCGCACCGTGGGACATTCATGCTAGTAAATGCTGCACATCCTACAA